TACCTGATTATATAAATAAATATTATGGAATTACTCACGATCCTATTTCCAAAGATTATGTGATAATCATGAAATATTGTGAAGCAGGTGATTTAAGACGTTATCTAACAGAACATTTTTATGATCTTAGATGGTGGGATAAGTTATATTTATTGGATAAAATTATTGAAGGTCTTAAATATATTCATCATGAAGGGATTATTCATCGGGATTTTCATAGTGGGAATATCCTTTGTTATGGAGATTGTGAAGTTCTAATAGGTGATTTCGGAATTAGCAAGTCATTGAATGAATTAGCAGATGATAACGACAATGATGACGCTAAAATTTATGGTATTATTCCTTATATTGCTCCAGAAGTCTTTTATGGACAAAATTATACTACGGCCTCAGACATCTATAGTCTTGGCATGATTATGTGGGAGTTAATGACGGGTAGAAGGCCTTTTTGGGATCATGATCATGATACAGAACTTATTATTAGAATATGTAACGATATACGTCCTCCAATTGTTACAAATGCACCTGAGGGTTATATCGAATTAATGAGAAAATGTTGGCATCCTGATCCAAATAAAAGGCCAACAGCTAATTATTTAAAAGAAAGAGTTGAAGTTATATTGAGTCTTGAAATTAAAAATATAACAAAAATCGTAGTATCATCAGATATTGGACCTATAGCAACGAATCATTCAGGAGCAGTATATAAAAGTAGATCATTCAGCAGATCTGCGATACTCTCAAAAAGTCAATCCGTTACAATATTCGGTGATTATTTTATTTTTTGATTTATTTTGATTAAAAAAAAATTAATGATTTTGTTGAATTGTGTAGATCCATTTGTTGATTATCAAAAGAATATTATATTTTCCAATGGTAAATATTTATATAAATGATCATTTTTTAAATTTTAAATTTTTAATTACTATATATTTTTTTTTTTGGAAAAATAAAAGATAAAAGAAAGATTACTGATGACAACAAAAGTAATAAAAAAAGTAGATTATCTGATAATGGTAAATATTTGCTTATTTAAACTATTTATTTCTACGTGGTATATTAGAATTACGCGGAATCTCTATATAAATAAATGACGAGAAAAAAAAATATGCTCTTAGAATATTAAAATATTAAATACTATTCTGTAATTATTAGATTATGTGACAAAAGAATTGAAAATAGATATTAATGCGAATAATGTGAATATTAATGAATCTAATGAAGGTAATGTGATTATATAAATGTTCATTTTAATTATATTTTATAACTAATTTGTACATTTTTAGAATATATAACCAGAGAAATTGATCTCGATATTAATACTTCGGAATTTAGTTGCTGAATACTTTGCATCAAAAATTTTCCTGATGTAGACTAAATTATTTTACCTATGTTTTTTTTCATAAACAAGATATAAACCGAACATAATGTTAGAAAATAAATACAGAAGATGTTCTTGAAATTCAGTCACAAAATAAACCAACTGATTATATTCAATATATAGTCGGATGAAAAAAATGATAAAAGATAATGAAGATAAACTTTCTTTAGAAGGTTTTGAAGTGTTCGAAGTAAATTTTCGGTGTTATTTTTTTTAAAAAATTTAATTTGTTTTTAACGTCTTGTTCGAATATTTGGTTTTTTTATGAAAAATTTTGTACGCAAAGCGGATTATTTTGAAAATTATAATAAAATTGATTCAAACATTGAAGACATGTGCATATGAATTAATTCATGAAATACTCCAATATATTTTTATGAAGCACTTTTGCTTCAAATAAAGAAATATAAAATTTTTTGAGATTACAAAATTTTACAATAAAAATCTTTAAAATTATTTCGATATAATTCTATTTTATTTTGGCACTTCTCCATTTAAAGAATATCAAAATGTTTCGGTTCATAAGATTCATCGTCATTTAATGAGTGCAAAAAAGTGAGAACATGTTTGATAGCAGAATTTAACTTTTGAGAAATATGATTTTTAAAATGGTTAAGGGCAACTGGAGAAATAATGATTTTGAAATTTTATGTCACAGTCATGTTATTATAATATATAATTTTATCTGAATAAACTTTGATTAAGCTACTCTTAAAATGACGTCTTCATTATTCAAGAGCAATATTAATCTCAACACTTTTATATCTCTTCTGAAAATCACAAATTTGATTTTGTCGATTAAATACTGTTACACATTGCGGTGTAAATATTGATTAGAGTCTTTCATGTATTAATGACTTTTGCTTATATCCTCTGCGTGCGGTCACGCGTTTGCATGCAGTGAACCATTTCTAAATCAATCTTTTTAGAAGTCGGCGAGATTTAAGTTACTTTAAATGAATAGTAACACAGTTTTCGCGCAATTTTTATTTTAGACAAGTGTTAAAATCCCTTCATACGAGTTAATAATAACTTCAATTGATCAAGCGAAGAGAAATAGAAACATATTTTGATAGTTACAATGTTAATGTCGTAAAGTTTCGGATGGGTTAAATATGATCCCGAAGTTATAGAATTTCAAAGTACTCAAACTTCTAGGTACTATTTTCAAAGTAATATCTGAATTTTCACAAATTTAGTTATTACAAGCACGCCATAACTATCTTTTCATTTTAAGAACCTGTGCATCTTTCTAAAGAATAATTTAATCGTGAGGCTACCTATATTATGTTTTACTGCGTCATGTATATATTTTTAATTTTTGCTCATATCGCATAATTTTTTGTAGTTCCAAGTTACTGGAGTTATACATGTTTTCCGACAGTTGACATTGAAACGTGATCGGTATTTTTAATAAATATGTGATGATTTAAACCGCGATTTATAAATTTGCAGAAAAATAAATTTTCTAGAAGTTTTGTGAAGATACATAATTTTATTTTTATATTACGCGTTATAAGAAAACTGAAGTTGATGATTTATTCTCAAACCACTATATGGAATGATTTTAAAATCCATTGGAGTTTCGAACATTTTAATTTGTTGAAAATGATTCTTGAGAGAATTATAACAAGAAACCTTCGTTTTTAGACTTTCACATGCTACTATGTTTATACAGGCAAATATGCCTGCGTTACAGACGAAGTGATAATCCGGATTCAGACGTTTCTGTATAGAATATAATTTCGCCCGAAAACTCCATAATTCCGCATGTAATCACTTTCAGATATTTGCAGTTAGTCTTTTGAAGATCATTTGCCAGGTGTATCCAAGTATGACAAAATGTCAAGATCCTATTTTTTATAAATACGATCCGGAAATCCTTATACAGCTCAACATTCCATTTTGCATACATACCCTCGAAAACCTTCGTTAAACCCTTCGCGATATTTTCTCTTTCGCCGTTTTAACATTATCAGTTATAGATTTCGTATTTATAACTTCGTTTATTTTTAATTTTCTTATTATTTTTTATTCAATTTTTCGGTATTTACTTAGATTAATATAATGAAATCGCGTAAAACGATGAGGCAACAATGATTAACTTGATATTATTAAATAAATATTTGTCACAATTACTTCATTTTTACTCAATAATTATTCAATAAAAATCTTCTGCTTACTTACAAAATTGTTTATAAATATATGAACAGAATACAACAATATTAAAGACAAGACCGAACTTTATCAAGTATTTATTAAAATAATTTGGTGAAACATCAATTCCTGATACATCAAAAGATTATGTAAAAGTTTACACTGGTAAAAACATCATTAAAATTTAACTAAATTATTGGGTGTTGAACCAGACAATCGACTAGCAATGTATTAATTGGTGATAAATTAAACGCAAACTAACATCAACAGGAGGAATACAAAGATATAAAATCTTAAAAGTACTCCACTGTATAGATCAATATATATTTTATTAGAATATGGAATCAATTAAAATTAAGTTCTAATTTTTTGAATTTTATCATAAAAATATACTTCAAAGAACTTGAAATTGATATTGCAAAGGTATTGTAATATATTAAATAATATATTTAAATTGTTAATTTAAAGCTTTGAGTTTCAATATATTTTTAATGATGATTTATTAGACTACCTACAATAAATGCAATAAACGTGAATTTAGCAACTCAAATTGTTTCGATTGCTCATCATCAAATTGAATCTATAAACGTCAATTAAATTCATCTATTTCATCTGAAAATTTTTCAGTAAGCGTGAAATTAAAGAATTAGAAATTAACACTCAAATAAAAAGTATGTATGAATTTATTAAAGCATATGACCGCTAAATTGATTGATATTATTAAAAATACAATCTTGTTATTATAGGAAAACGCGCGAAAATAGTTTAACTTCAATATAGGCTTGCAAATGAGCCTGATTTCATTTCTATACAAAATTTACATATATTATGTGTATTTTTTTATCTTTACATTATAGTTCTTTGCTTAATGATTTAAAGCTTAATTTTATTTGTGTGCATATAATTTTATACAATGATTAGGTAAAAATGTCGAGAGTAATTCAACGATTCAATATTACATAACATTATTCGATCTCTGCTACTAAAACATATTATTTGCGGTTCGACGCTTTTTCATTTCTAAGCTAAATAGAAAAAATAATCTTTTTTTTGACAGGTTTTTGCTAATGATATATTGGTACTCTTTTATATAAGAAAAACAAGATTACATGTTGGATTTTGCTGGATTTATTTAACTTCAAGTTGCTAAATGTACTTATTAAATAGATTTGAAAAAAAAATTTATAACGAGTAAATTTAGATGAAATTTTAAAAAAACACATAAATTGGATATATAATGATAATTTAAGGGATATCCGCTTATAGGTGCAACTAGTTTACCATGGTATTTTCGATACATTAATACCATAAGTGCTATCAATTCCATGACAGCTAAATTTAATCCCTAAAAAAAAAATAAAATATTAATACATTTTAAAAATTCATGAAAAGTTAATAATAATCAAAAAAAACTACAAACGACTTACTGGAGACATTCTTGCACCACCTCTGAATTGGTGTACTAAATTTTTTGATTTGCTATCAATAAACGATCGTGATCAAATTCTTCAGGGTTACTCCAATGAGCTTTATGCTTGTTTATACCATATTGATGTATAAAAAGTTTAGTTTCGGCAGGAATGATGAAACCATTTAAATTTTCTTCTGGTATTTATACAGAAATTAAAATTTATTGTTGGATAGAATCGTGAGTCTCTTTAATTACTGCATCACAATAAGGAAGTTTATTGAGATCTTTATAAGTTAAATTTTTGATCGCGTGAAAATTCTGAATCAATTTCTTTCAAAAGACGTTTCTTTGCTTCGGGGTAAAGAGCCATACAATAACTGATATAACAGAATGACCCTGAAATCGTATCAAGACCTCCATCAATTGCTTCTATAAAGTTACCAACGATAGCTTCATCACTATCGGTTCCATACTTGGGCAATTCGTTCACCAACTACACAAGTGAATCGTGATAATAATTGTTTTGTTTGTTTGTCGTTTATTTCTCCTTTGAGGTAATTAAATTATTAAGTTATTTAGTTTTGTTAGCTTGGTTTTGAGACGATACCAGGTCTAACACCGTCAATAAAAAATTAAGCATATCAGGAGTAACTGGAAAATCCAAAGGAGTGTTATTAATTTCTTCTCTACCAAATGTAATAAATCTGTTAACAAACGATCTCGTCTCTTTAATAATCGCATGGTTAGCTGTTTACAACCGCCGGGAAAATGACGCATCCATTTTGAGTTAACAAGAAATATTGCAAAGAAGTAAAGAAATCATTAACTTTATTGACGAACTCTTCAGATTCTTTTAATATGGTTGTATCAACGTTAACCTTTTTATTTGGAGAAATTTTGTTGAAATAACTTGCTAATGCATAAGTTCTTTTATTTGTTGTAAGACGAAAACTGGTATCTGTAACAAATCTAAATAACCATTTAGATAAATCTCCATCAAGTTTCATCCAATAACCTTCCATTTCTTCAAAAATTTCTTATGGATTGTTTTATAAATTTTGGGGCCATAATAATAGCGCGAATAAAAATTTTACGATAGTACGTCCACGTATCATAATTTCTATTATATAATAATCCCTTTGTCGTACGATCAAATTCTTCCAATCCATCATTTGGGAGATTTGCTATTAAAATCGAGTTACGAACATATGATCCGTAACGTGATTTTAATAGCTTACCACCATTTGGTGATGTGCATAAATTAAAATTACACTTTTGCAAATTCGTTGTATAAATCTTTTCTATTAAATCTGCTCTTCTCGATCAAGCTTGCTAAAAATTGCTAAATCTGGATTGATTAATTTAGTAGACCTGTAGAGTTTAAGAGAGTATTATTATTATTTTTTTTTGGGCATACATGGTGATTTTTCTTCATGATAAAGAATCAATCAACTCGTGATACGTGAGTCAATATCAAAAGTAAAGCGTTAAAAAAAAAATAAGTATTAATTAAAAATATTATTTTAGGAGCTGCGGTTTCTTTTATGAAATTGCAGCAATTCTTGTATTAATTTGATCGACTTGTCCCGCCGAAATAAAAGTATGTAAATTTGAGCCTCAAATTATTAATATTCTTCAAAAACTATTCTAATTTAGGGATTGGAATCAATTTCAACTATAACCTATGATATTGCGAGTACTTCATCGTATAAATCATATTATTGAACATCGTCCAAAATATTCAAGGTCTTCATTTATTAAATATCGTTCCACAACGTAATTATGGAACTTGTTATATGATATATTAAAGTGTACTGGTAATAATAATCTAGTTAATAGGCCTTTCAAAAACACAATTTGGAAATATGGCAAGTAATTAGGCTCAGATTTTTTAATATGGTGAAAGGTTTTCGATGTCTTGTTGATGAAACAGATTTATGTGGCTAAAAAAAAATAAGAGAAAAAAAAATGTAGATAATTATAGTATTGTGGATTTAACTGAAAAAACAGATTTTATGTTGTAATAGGTATATAATTTATTATTATTTGTTGTTTTTGAATATGTTAATTTATACATATTAGGCACATAATATTCAAAGCTCGGTATATCGATCATATCACAAAATATTTATGAACTTCAAACTTGTGGTGCTAAAATATTTTGAAAGATTGTTTGATGGTTATATTGGAAAGTAAAAGGCATTACCTATTATATGACAAAATATTATTGGAAATAAAAAAGATCTATAATAATTCAGTCGTCATTGTTTATGAAGCAGGTAGCTTTTCTTTTTCTTTGCGAAAACTAAAACAACTTTTTGCGGTACTTGCACTAGTGTGTATTTGATAAATATTTATTGAATATGATTTATTTATTCTTCTTTTAAGGTTGGATTCCTGTAAAGGTTAATTGCTTTGAAGGTTTTGCTGTTCGAATTATTTAACTCTTTGGAATAGGTGTTATGCACAAGAAATATTAGGGATGTTTTTAAACATGTGTAGATACTAATGCTGAACTTTATTGACGGTAATCCCTACGAAGCATATATTGGGTCAAGTTGATCATTCATTTTCAAAGTACTGGTTTTTGAAAAGAAATTTATATTATTAAAGTGAAAATAACAAATTTCAATTTAAATATAGCGATAGTAAATTATTATTATAATAAGAAAAAAATAAAAATTTAAGTAAAAATCGACGCTTTTCATCCCAGATAATTTTCTTTTTAAGGAAAATTTATTTTTTTAAAAAAAAAATAAAAAAAAAAAATACGATAAAAAAATACACCTCCATCTCAGCATTTTTTATAAACTCAATTCTTTGATTTTCGCCAGCATATCTTAAAAATTTAAAAAAATTTTCCTCTGTCGCAGTAAGCTAATTCGTCGATCAACATTTGATGACGCAAACGTATATTCTTTTTTCGCTTATTAGAAATTAAAAAGAAATGCTATTGGACGTCTCGTTTATTTTTGATTGTCGTGTTCGTTCTTTTGTTTTCTCAGCCAGCCATCTTGGAAAAATTATAATATGGTTTCTAAACCTTTGATTGTCACCTTTATTCCAAAACTTTTTTGTATCAGTATTATTTTTTTTTTTCGAAAATGAGAACTTTTGAAAGATTCAAAAGATTTATAAAAAATGTCACAACAACTCTGAGATAAGTATGACAAGCACAAAAATATGTGCTATGACTTCCTTCTACATTTACCCATAACTCCCTTACTGACTCCATTTCGACAGCTGTACATTCTTTTATTCCCTCTTCTTCTACAACTGTCAATTCTTCTGTTCCCATGTCTACAGCTGTAACTCCTGTACCTTCCTCTCCCTTTTTCAGTTTCCCCTCCCGTTTCTACTGCAGCTGTAGCTCCAGTGCTTCCCAGCCTCCCTTATTGCTCATATCCGTCACTTTTCTAGTGTCCAGAGCCGATGAATCTTGATTCTCCTGGTATCTACGTTGTCATTTACTATGCACGAGGTGCAATACCAAAGCCAGTCAAAAATCATATAAATTACTGAAGATCGGTAAAACCAAAGAACAAATTAAGCGAAAAATCCAAATACTATACCTTCGCCAAATAAATTTTTGATATACTAAAATTCTGTATGCTTTGCTTAACTACCAATAATTCTATTATCGTTGTACAAAATAATTTTAAAAATAAATTTTTTTAAAACTCTAATTAATAAATAAAATGTCTTACAATAATGAGAATATTGTACAGTATGTTATTTATATCGGTAATGTCACTACGTGAAGTTAACAATTACCTATAATATCCATAAAATATAATATATTTTCTTTGATAGTACACAAGATTACTTTCAGTTCCAGACAAATCGCCGAAGCATTTCATAATCATTAAATTAAACTAGGAAAATGTATGTATTAACCAGCATTATAAAAAAATGCACGATCAAAGTGCGAACTTTTCTTTAAATTATATAATGTACAAAAGCAATTACCTAGTGTATTCGTTGTCTTACGTGCGTACAACACAATGTACTTTATTTCATATTGCCATCGTTCATCCTATAAAAAAAATTTGAGTTAATTGTATACGAAAGATCGGGTGTTTTTCGCAGAAATTCTTGCAAGAATACGACGGGCACTATTCTTCCAAGGGTTAGGTTTAAAAAAGACGAATTTAGAAGGACAGAAAGTAAAGGATGGGAGACCTTACAACGTATTGCAATAAAAAATTGTGATGGCTTTTCAGCCATCGAAGGTTCAATCATTCTTGAGTTATTTTTGACACTAATTTTATCGGTTGGTTGTTTTCTCCATTTCGAATGATGTTCTCTCAAAAGATGAAAATACTTTTTTTGAATGTTATATAAGAAAAGAACAATATATTTCAATATAAAATAACGTTTGCAGGATAAATTATTAAGCTTAAAAGCGAATAAACGTCATTTTCAAAAGTTTTAAGGTATTAAATCAGTTACTTCTTCATTAAACAAATTTGCTAACTAAAGGATTGATTTTATTGATTATAAATAAAAGTGGAATGTGGAAACTTTTCAATCAAAATTATATTACAGCTCCTTAATTATTTGTCTTTTCATTTGTCTGATTTCTTTAATTATCATATTTTCATTCTTCATTTCACAACAAAAAATTAAAGAGCGTTATAATTCTGTAACTTTCTTCAGACAGAATCACCCATAATATTATAACTATCGCCGAATACGAAGATTGAGTGCCTGGACAATTCTTATATTTTAAGTTCAATCCCATTGAAGAGTTCATGGTCATTCAAAGAGATATACAAAGAATACTTGAACCCTTCATAAAGAATACTACTGCACATAGTAAATGTTTACGGTTTTTTTAGTTCCATTAGCAAAGATTGTGAAAATATATCCGTTCTTATTTATTTCACCAAATGGTCATGATCCTCAGTTTAAATCAATCTTAATAAGAGTTTTGATCCTTGGAATGAAGTATGATTGTGGATGGTCATGATTCTTAGAAAAACATCAATCAATCTTAAGTGGATGTCATAGCAAGTGGTTTTAATTAATAAAAAAGCCCTATATTTACCTTAATAAGTTACTTTGATATTTGTAATAGGCTTTGCCTTATTTCCTTTTTTTTTTTTTTTTTTTTTTAAAAAAAAAAACCCTTTATAATATAGATTCAAGTGATTTGCAGTTATTTATAGAATATTATTCCGATGTCAATGCTTAAGAAATCCTTTTGGTGCATTACTTTATTAAATTATATATTTTAAATGATTATTCACCTTATTCTGATAAATAACAATTTATAAAATTTATAACTTCAAATTTTCAGATTTATTAAATTCAGTCTTAAAAATTGATACGGCTTGTACTGAAATTTTAAAGATTTGTGTTTCAATTCATTTTTTATTAATTTAATTTTCATTTTTTTTTTTTTTAAAAAAAAAAACTAATAATTACAACAAATGATGCTCATTTCGAATTTTTTTAAAATTTCGCTAACCCAATTATTTTTACATCAATGAAATTAAATATAATGAACAATAAAGATGTGCATGAATTCCATTCCGAGAAGATGACATCATAATTGAAGTTTGTCTATTATTAAATAGTATCATCTGGTTTGACACAACGAATGAATTTAATACATCCTCACACTGGAGCCCAGTATCTACGAAGAAGTGTACAACCTTAATCTTCTTACAGTCTTTGCACAAAAAAGCCGGTAGCATTATTCTTATATTTATTGTTTTCACCAAACTTCCGTTAAATTATTCAGTTCATACATCTTTCGCTCACTTTATCTCGAAAACTTTTCCCATCTTTAACAGATTAAGAAGGTTATAACTCTTTTCGAAAATATTTACGTAACTTTAATGTAATTGTTACACGATTGGAAAGTCATTCCGCCTTTAATTCAAGTGCAACTAATGTAACTCGTAACTCCTGTGTGGAAGTAAATTGTATTATGACGAATGACAAATGGAGCAGGAATAAGAACATTAAAGAAACTTTAGTGATAAGTCAAGGATCAGTTAATCTATTTTATTGA